GTGGTCCCAGGCAGTAATGGTTCCAACTCACCCTGACTAGAGGGACCCTGCCGGGAGAGAGCATCCGCATTCCGGTTGCTCCTTCCGGAGCGATACCTCAGCTCAAAATCAAAGGCAGCCAGTTGCGCAGCCCACCGCTGCTCCGTGGCACCGAGCTTAGCAGTATTCAGGTGGCTGAGGGGATTGTTATCAGTGAAGACGACGCACCTCTGCCCCAACAGATATTCTCTGAACTTCTCAGTCATAGCCCACTTGAACGCCAGAAATTACAACTTAATCAAGCTGTAGTTTGACATGTTGCGCTCAGTGGGCCTAAGACTGCGGCTAGCATAAGCTATAGGCCGCACCTTCTCTCCCTGTTCCTGGGACAAAACTGCTCCCAATCCACCATGGCTAGCATCTACCTCCAGGATAAAGGGAAGGGAGAAGTCCGCATAAGCCAATACAGGGGCCGAGGTGAGCCTACTCTTCAACTCCTCGAAGCTCCCCTGACACTGCTCTGTCCATGCCGCCCCAAAACTCGACTCCGCTCGAGCCCTGGGCTTACGACCTGCAAACTCAGCTACAAGCCGGTGCAGAGGAGCCGCCAACTTGGCGAAACCCTCTACAAATCGCCTATAATAACTGGCGAACCCCAGGAATGAACGGAGCTCTGCCACCCCCGTGGGGCGCTGCCATTGCCTCACTGCCTTTATCTTGCTTGGATCTGTCGACACCCCTTTGGCAGAAATCACGTGTCCCAGATAACTTACCTCTTGCTGGAAAAACACACATTTGGTTAATTTAGCCTTCAACCCCTCCCGCTCCAGCCGACTCAAAACCACCTCTAACCGCTCCAGGTGTTGTGTCACAGAGGAGGAAAACACTACTATATTGTCCAAATACAGAAGAAGGGACTGACACTGCTGGTCCCCAAACAACCTCTCCATCAACCTCTGGAAGGTGCTTGGGGCATTGCGATTCCATTCAAAGAGACCGAAGGGTGTACAGAAAGCGGTCTTGTGTTTATCCCCCTCTGTGACAGGAACCTGATTGTACCCACTGGCGAGGTCCATGGTGGAAAACCACCGGGCCCCCGTCAGGGAGTCCAAAGTTTCCTCGATCTGCGGCAGAGGGAAAGCATCCCTTCGAGTTTTTGCGTTCAGCGGGCGTAATCTACACACATACGCAACGTGCCATCCTTCTTTTTGGCCAACATGATGGGGGAGGCGTAAGGACTACAGCTCTCTCTAATAATGTTTGTTTCCAGCAACTGGTTTATGTGCGTTTTTACCACATCGTACTCAGACGGCGGTATCCGCCGGTACCGTTGTCGAACTGGGACGGAGTCCGTCAAAGGGATGTCATGAGACAGAAGTTGAGTACATCCCAAATCGCCTTCATGCGCCGAGAAGACCATATGAAACCTTAACAACAGAGACCTTACCTGCTCCTGTTCGGTCTCTGTTAACGCCGACAAATCAAGACTCTTGATTTGTTCCTGCATTGGAGTGAGAGGAACCTGATTGTACCCACTGGCGAGGTCCATGGTGGAAAACCACCGGGCCCCCGTCAGGGAGTCCAAAGTTTCCTCGATCTGCGGCAGAGGGAAAGCATCCCTTCGAGTTTTTGCGTTCAGCGGGCGTAATCTACACACATACGCAACGTGCCATCCTTCTTTTTGGCCAACATGATGGGGGAGGCGTAAGGACTACAGCTCTCTCTAATAATGTTTGTTTCCAGCAACTGGTTTATGTGCGTTTTTACCACATCGTACTCAGACGGCGGTATCCGCCGGTACCGTTGTTGAACTGGGACAGAGTCCATCAAAGGGATGTCAGGAGACAGAAGTTGAGTACATCCCAAATCGCCTTCATGCGCCGAGAAGACCATATGAAACCTTAACAACAGAGACCTTACCTGCTCCTGTTCGGTCTCTGTTAACACAGACAAATCAAGACTCTTGATTTGTTCCTGCATTGGAGTGAGAACAGTAGGAAGCTGAAGATTTACTGCTGCAGAAACAGATTTAATTTCTGAGACGCCAGGGGGCATAGTCACAATAAATACACTGTGCAACGTGCCCAAGACAGCGTTCCGAAAAAGCATTTACGTCAAGTCTTACCTACGTTAATGACAGGTACATAAACCGTGCCTCGAGTTACTCGCGTTAATGCAGGTGATGCTAAAAGACCTGCAGGCAACCCAGTTTCTGGTGGTTCAAAAAGCACCCAGCAAATTGCCCGGAGCAACTGGCAGCCACTACTTTCATTGTGCCACCCGGAACACAACACGCACTGCAACCCCGCAATCGCACCTTGCCTATCCGGCTATCTGTAGGGACAGCACTTACCTGTCGACAATGTTGTAATGCTTGAAACACTGGCTTAGAAGTCCCTAACACCGAAGGTGCATCAAATAGGGTGGTACCGTGCTGCCCAAAGAGCTCCTGATAGCACCGGCTCAACACAGTCATCCCCAAAATACCAGGGACTTGGATACCGGTGCCACCAGGAGGATCCCTTACAACCAGCACACCACATCCTGGGATCATCTGACCTCAAAGCTCAACGTCCAACTCAAGATAGCCAACATACGGTATCAACGACCCATTGGCTGCACGGAGCTGCAACCACTGACATGCCCTGAGACGACCCTGGCCCCATGGTGCAAACTGTTCTAAAAAATAACTTTCCATCATTGTAGACACCATGGAGCCAATATCGATCAAACAGGGCACCTGCACCCCTCCCATACAAACAACGAGGTGAGGACATGATGCCATTAAATGCGGCAAGGGACCTAACATCATTGAGTCACTATCTTCCCTACCGATCTGTGACTCTGCAGTTCGGCGGGACCTAGTTTTCCGTTGGCTGGGAAAAAGTCTGTCGAGCCCTCATCATAGAAGGTGAATCACGCCGAACTAGGGAGGAAGGAGAAATACTGCGTTCTCCATCACATTCACAGGCAAAATGGCCTGGTTTTTGACATCGGTGACAGATTAATACCTCCATATGGGAGGGCCGACGAACATGCTGAGGAACCCGCATACCGGCAATACTCTGAGTAAGTTGATCTAACTGCTGCTGCTGTGATTTTAACATCTCCCGCAGCTCCTTCAACTCTGACTGAGAATGCCCTTGCACCCCGTACTGGATGCCGTAAGCTATTGGAACTGACTGACTCCTACCCCTCGCACCCCCTGGTGTCCCCTCCCGTTCCCACCTAATCGCCTCCCCACGTATTTCCAAAAGGGTAGAGGCGGGCTGGCAGCAAACCAATTGCTTCAGTTCCCGGCGGAGCGCGCTATCGGTAACATACTCGACAAACTGATCACGCAATACAATTTCAGCATTAAGAATAGCATTCGGTGATTGCTGTTTAACCTTCTCCAGGAGAGTCATCAAGGCCAGGGAAAACTATAGCAGCGATTCCCCATCTTGCTGCCTCCTGGAGAAAAAAGCTTCTTGGAGTGCTACATATGATTGGGAGCAACCATACAATTCACGTGAAATCACAATTTTATCTGGATCACCCCGTTCCCCACTGGGACGGTGTCTATTCTCTAAGGGTAGAGGCGGGCTGGCGGCAAACCAATTGCTTCAGTTCCCGGCGGAGCGCGCTATCGGTAACATACTCGACAAACTGATCATGCAATACAATTTCAGCATTAAGAATAGCATTCGGTGATTGCTGTTTAACCTTCTCCAGGAGAGTCATCAAGGCCAGGGAAAACTCTAACAGCGATTCCCCATCTTGCTGCCTCCTGGAGAAAAAAGCTTCTTGGAGTGCTACATATGATTGGGAGCAACCATACAATTCACGTGAAATCACAATTTTATCTGGATCACCCCGTTCCCCACTGGGACGGTGTCTATTCTCTTCACGCACTTCACCTTCCAAATGGTCGAAGAGAAAAAATGCTTTATCAGCCCTAGACAAATAACGAGCCCGCACACATGCCTCAGCCTCCTCCACCCACTCATCAATACCAGTGCCGGATTTACCACTAAACTTTGGACACCGTCTGTCCCTGGGCACAAAAACAAACCGGTCCGGCACAGCAGCATCAATCTGGGCTGGCTGGGGAGGGTCAGGCATTACTGCAGAGGCAACAACAGGCACAGTACTTGGACCAGGTAACTCACCTAGCACCCGCTCACGACGCAACTGGTCATTGTCGGCTCGCAACTGTGCCACTACTTCTCGCAACTCCTGCATCTCTTCCTCCATACTTGTCATAGTTACACTCACCCCAAAACTAGAAAAGGGCCACCGATGGAGGAATACAACTTGTCCCAAAGGTCAAAATGCACGCTGCTGTTTTGCTCTGAGGAAAAGAAGAAAACACAACCAACATCAAAACACAATTTCACCCACGTCTCACTTAATCTCTGCCTTACCAGGTAAATCCTGCCGACTACGCCAAAATGTGGCAATGTTCAAGTGGAAGGAAATATTAATATAATTAGATTTAGCCGACTATGCCACCCTGGTGGGAGGCCAGGGAAATAACTCCCAATAAAAGGACACACAGGTAAATTTCACCAATTGAAGGTAACGAGACAAGGGAGACGCGAGGATCGATACAAGAAATACACTTTATTATAAAATATCAAATAAAATTCTCTCACGAAACACGCCCACAGTGGTAGGAATAGCTTCCGGGGCCAGGATTAATGGGAACAAGGCAGGCCGGCCACAACTCTGGAGGTCGTCCAAAACCCACCTCAGTTCACAGCAAATCAGACACCACACACACCCCTCCTAGGGAAGTTATATCAAAGCACCCACAGCACACCGTGAAACACTGCCGAATAACGCAGATCTAGCCTCCCCTGTTCCACACAAGTCCTCACTGGCCCCTAGAAAGAGAAACATTTATAACGAAATTCAAACGGAAATATTATAAGTAAAAGACAAACACCAAATAATAATTTTACAGACACGGTGTTGTAGCAGCTTTGACACTCAGGCCTCCAGATGACACACGTACAAAACAGACAAATAACCAGCACCTAAATGGCACTAGAAAACTGAATCCATGAATAAAGAAACACTTTACAGAAAATACATAACCAGAAAAATAAAACAAATTAATACTACAAGTATAGCTACAAAATAAAGCAACCCAAATACAAAAGAAACAAAATAGCCGCCAAACTAATCAAACAAATATAGCAACAACTTACTCTGTTGACAAAGGAAATTAAATCAAAGAAATTAAACTAATAGAAAACCCGGCGGACACAATGCCCAGAGGTTAACGTTACAGCCCCCAGCGACTCACGAAGCCGCAAACCCGTTAACCACACCGATGACCGTACGCAACACGATCAAATAAAACCAAAAAATATCCCTGAGCAAAACAGCAGCGTTGTCGTCGCAAGAAGTCCTTGCTAGGAACAGGGCTTGAAAATCTTGATCTTTCCCCTTTACCTTTAAACAAGAGTACGAGAATTAATCTAAATTTACAAAACCCCAAATGTGAAAAACAGGAAAGGCATACTCACGAGTTATGTTGAACCAACACTAGACGCACAGCTGTATGGCTACTCACTACCGGTGCCGCAACTCAGTCTACCAGCCAGCATTCACCCACCTGCCGTTTTCGCTAGCACCGAGCACAACAACCAGTAAATACCACCACTAAGGTGGTCATACAAATTAAACACCAACCATACCTGCAAGCGAACTCTGCCACGACTTCCCGCAATGCCAACAATACCAGCCCCACTCTAAAATTAACTATAAACAGCACATATTAACCTCGCAACAGACGCATCATTACACCATCAGCAGAAACTCAACGTACCTGGATAGGAATGGGAACGGAAGAGGAAGTACCAGGGAGAGAGAGAACCCCAAGTCAGCAGGAACGTACCCCCCCGCCGTCAAAATAAAGGTCCTAAAATAGTACGGCTGCTACCACCTCATTGGTTTGCCAATCATACCCCAACCAACCAATCAGAGGAAATAACTTATCCTGCCACACTTAGTAATGCATTTACTTTAGATATAAGCCAAAATTATGTATGTGAAGTCAACATATATCTATATTGCTTTTTAAAAGCTATTACATTTAAATTTGCTGTTAAATGTGCTATAATATGAAATTAGAATTTTCACTTAAAATATATATTTTTTTACTAAAAACATTTGCAATGTAATTTTGTTGTTTCATTTAGTTTACTTATTAATAAAGACACTTACAGACTTCAAAGACCTTAATTTTTTTGTGATGTGTAAAATATGCATCGTATTTTCTGTTACATACAGTATATATATATATATATATATATATATATATAATTATTTTTTTAATATATATTTAGACAAAATTATGTCTTTTATTTTTTTCTAAGGTGAGTGTTAGAGCTTTTTTCTTAAACTATATATAGAATAAAAAACAATTTTATTGTGGCACATTATTTACAGGACAGTTATTAACATAAAGCATTTAGTGAACTCTAAAATGTTATTAACTTTGGACATGGTGGTGGTTATTGTAGGCCACCCTGACTTGCTGTTGTCTTTTAGAGAAAGCTTTACTCATTATTGCTGTCTGCAGTGACCAGTTTGATTTGTCCTTTCAGCAAGTGATCTGGGAAATGAACCGCATTGGAATGCTGATTGACCTGTCTCATGTGTCTGAGAAGGTCATGAATCAGGTGCTGGATATCTCTAAATCTCCTGTTATCTTCAGCCACTCTTCTGCCTACAGCATCTGTAATCACAAGAGAAACGTTCCTGATGATGTTCTCATGAGAGTGGTAAGAGTACCATCAATTTACAACCTCAAAATGAGTTTATTGCCCAAAAAGAATTGACTGTGACGTACTTACTCTTCCATATTCATAAAACGTTTGTAATACGTTACTCATTACGGATATAAAGAGATGTTATAAAAGATAAAACCAGATGCTTTAATTAAGCAAAATCACTTGGATAATCTCGGCTGTGATTCGGCCATAGCACAAGTCTACAGGTAATCACAGTTATTCTGATGTTAGGGTGGTTTTCCTGAACCTGAAGTGGTTCAGGCTGCAGGATTGCCGAATGACTATAGAAAAGTTATCCAAATGCATAGACAATAGTGCTGGGCAACGTTTAATCACGATTAATCGCATCCAAAATAAAAGTTTTTGTTTACATAATACATGCATGTGTACTGTGTATATTTATTAAAGACATACACATACAGCATATATTTTGAAAATATTTACACGCATTTACATGTGTATATTTATATTCATATTATATAAAAATATATCAAATATATAAACATAACATTTTTTCTTAAATATATACCTGCATGTGTGTGTATTTATATATAGGCTACATAATAAATATACACAGTACACACATATATTATGTACACAAAAACTTTTATTTTGTATGTGATTAATCACAATTAATCGTTGCCCAGCACTAATAGAAAATAACCGACAACTGAAGACTAACTCAAGAGGGCTATAAATACACAGGGTAATAAATGAACTGAATGAGACACAGGTAAACAATATAATCAATAAGTAACTATGGCGACAAGTTAGAATATATTTTGAAACCATGACAACCGAAGAAACAGAAAGGACACAAAAGAAACAATGAGTTGCAAACTAGAACTCCATGAAAACAAAACTGAAACCTAGAACTGAACGTGACATGCACAGGCTGAGTTCTGCTTCGTTTTTTTATGGCCTTCCTTCATTAACTTTCCATCGCCTCGTTGACTTATGTACACGTCATTGGCTACGTTTACACTGTCAGTTTTTTGGGATTGACAACCGCATTTACAGGTGTGAGTCTGGAAAAGTCCCATTCACACAGCAACTTACAATAGCTTTTCAAATACTGCCTGCATGAACGTGCAACGGGGGGTCAATCATGTATTCCTTACCAGCGACAGTGACCAAAGTAATATCAAATATCAAAAGTCTTATCACTTTCTGTCATCTTATCACTTTTTGGACATCCGTCATATCGTTATTAACTGACAGCAGATTTTAAATTTGGGTGGAGAGCAGACCATTTGAGTCGTGCGCAGAACACAAAACTGATGGCAGCAGCTCCGGTGGAGAACAATTGATTGGATCTAACTTTCAGATGACACACAGCTAATTTCTCCGTCACTGTAAGTTACCGAAACCACACATGAAAACACATAGTTAGTACAGCAGAACAGCTCTCTCTCGCACTGTACCATGTGACAGACAACTAGTTGTCCAGTCCTGTTTCGATCACAGAGCGCGTGTGTTCAGAGAATGCAGTTGTGAGTCCTGAAAATGTACAGGTGTGAGTTCGGTTACAGAATGCGGTTGTCGCGCCTGTAAATAACCATACTGTGTGTGAACGGAATGTGTGAACTGTATTATGGACTCAAATACAGGATTGACAACTGTATTCTGCTGCTGTGTGAACATGGCCAATTGACCCTTTGCAAAAACCTGCTCTCCTATGGCGAGCGAGGATATGAATTCTTGATATCAACAGTTCAATTTTTATTAGCTAAAATGCTAATTCTCGATATCAGGAATTCGATTTCTACTAGTAACAATGGCTATTTTTGATATCAGCAGCAATTACATTTCCACTAGTAAAAACAAACAACAATGACGTCATCACTTCCAGAAACTGAATTCTTGCTATCAGGAATTACATTTCAACTAGTAAAAAATATTATTCTTGATATCAAGAATTTATATTCTGGGAATGGCAATAGGCAAGCCGTTTTGACTTTTATTCATTTGCAGGATATGAATTCTTGATATCAGCAATTACATTTTCACTAGTTAAAATTCTAATTCTTGATACTAGGGATCTTAAATGTCAGGCTGCTATTCAAATTTAATTCTTGATATCAAGAATTGATTTCTTACTACGTGAAATTCCAATTTCACATATCAAAAATACAATTCTTAGTAGTAAAAGCCTTTATTTTGATATCAGTAATCATGTGGTTACTAGCGCAAATGTCCGTTCTTGGTATCAACAATTGAATTGCCACTAGTAAAAATTTTCATTTTTGATGTCAATCATTTGATTGTCACTATAGTGACAATGTTCATTTCTGATATCACGAATGTTATTGTTACTAGTTAAAAAAGAGAGTCATTTTAGAAATTACCCTCCTGATTATTGATATCAGAAATACATTTTCAGATATCATTAATAACAAATTGAGACCAATATGAGACATTCAATTAGCAGTGACAATTAGCAGACAACTGATGTACACATATCTTGGCTTATAGGCCTTGATCACGATTACACAACTCCCTAGAATACATTCAAATTGGTCAGACTTTTGTAACTAATAGCCATCAACTAGTCAGAACTGAGAGGTTAACCACTAATGCCCAGCATCACTAATCCCCCGAATGCTTCAGTATACTCCAGAAACAGAATTGCATTTTTTAAAGAGAAGTGAGATCAGTGTGGCTTTGTGTACACCAAATGTTCCAGTAAATATTATGGCACTTGCTAATGTCAGCATGCTATTAAACCATGGTGCATAACTCTCAAATTGTGTGTAATTAGCATTCAGACTTATGCTCGATTTTCAGCTCTTTTACAAAAGGGGTAAAAGAATTAAAAAACAGATTATTCTATCATCAATGATTTTTCAAAAATCATTTTCTATTTCAAAAATGAAGATTCTATCATCATTTACTCACCCTCAAGCTGTTCCAAACCTGTATGAGTTCTTAACATATTTTGTTCTGTGGAAGATTTTGAAGAATATTGGTAACCAAACAATTGATGGTAGCCACTGATTTACACCGTATTTCTTTCCCATACTATAAAATTCAATAACTACCATCAAAATATGTACTTGCGTTTTCCAAAGATGAAAGAAACTCATACACGTTTGTAACAACTTGAGGATGAGTAAATGATGACAGGATTTTCACTTTTGATTGAACTATCCTTTTAATCAATAGGTACATTTCTAAGGCATCTAAATTATCAACATGATTAAAACATTGCTGAAAACATATATTATACACAATCTACTACACTACTCATGATGATATTTTATACAGAATTAGAAAATAAAAGTCCTTTTAGTATAATTCTAAAAACATCAGTTTGTTTTTTTACTGATTTGAAGTAAATCAGAATGAGAATAGAATGATTTTTATATTGTTAGTAATATTTCAAGATAAACATTCAGGTTTACCTGATTATCCATACATATTTTTAAGGAAAATCATTTTAAAATGCGAGTATCAAATATGATACAGTACATCAAATATAATAATAAACCTTCAAGATAAGCTTTTTTTATGTCACCATGCAAGTACACTGTTATTACAGTGGTGCACCAACATGAGATCCAACACCTACCTATTTCCACCCCCTGGATCCCATTTCCACCCCTAAACCTACCCATCTCCACCCCCTGGATCAAATTGTTCCAATTACTCTTAGACACATTGTTGTTACAAAATGTAGTTATATATGTCCTGTTACACATTTGTACATACACAAACCATTCTGAGGGTTGTTACATGTGTGTAGTTACAGAAATATTACAGCTCTAGATACTATGTACCAATGTGTACTTATACTGTGGTTACATACTACGTGCACATCTAGTTACTATGCAAGTACACAGGTTGGTATTAGGGCCACTTAATATAAAGTGGGACCAAATATTCATTTTCAAAAATGTTTCTATTTCAGAAAGAAAAGAGAGGGATTGTCATGGTTAATTTTTATAATGACTACGTAACATGCAAACAAGCTGCTAACATCTCAGATGTTGCTGGTGAGTCCTTTTGACCATATTAGGCTAATATTCCTGAGACAGAACAATGAATTCCATAAAGTTGACTAGGTTAAATTTAGGACTGTTCTTCACTTAAATTAGCTAAACTGACTTCAAAAGACTGTGGCACATGGATGTATATGATGACAGTAATTGTGCTGACAACATTCAGTGTGTCAGTCTTGTGCTGACTGTAAAAAAAAAAAATCAATCCAAAGGCACCACCTAGTGGACACACCGTTGAATTTTCTGATATATTAATAACTCTTTTCTTAACATCATATCTGTATGATCTTCTTGATAACAACAAATGAATTCCATAAAGTTGAGTAGGTTAAATTTAGGACTGTTCTTCACTTAAATTAGCTAAACTGACTTCAAAAGACTGTGGCACATGGATGTATATGATGACAGTAATTGTGCTGACAACATTCAGTGTGTCAGTCTTGTGCTGACTGTAAAAAAAAATATCAATCCAAAGGCACCACCTAGTGGACACACCGTTGAATTTTCTGATATATTAATAACTCTTTTCTTAACATCATATCTGTATGATCTTCTTGATAACAACAACAAAGCTGATTAATATTTTTTTTTGTATTGCTCGTTATTTCCTATTTCTGTTATCTAATTCTAACCTTTACAATAACCTTACCATTCTCTTCTGTACTACTCAGTTAAGTTAAAACTACATCACGTTCTCTGCTCTTGTTTGCTATAAATTTTACATTAATTGAATGGATATTCTTATATAAAATGCCTCGTACCAATAAAGGTTTTGTGCTAAAAGAGTTTTAAGTGTAACAAAATTATTACTGTGTAAGGTAAATTAGCCCATGGGTTTAGGGGCCTTTTGGCTAGATCAAAGTAAATCACAATAAAGAAAGTTATATTCATAATATAATATACACTGTAAAAATCGACAGGAATTTACTGTGTTTGTGCACAGGAAATTACTGTATATTAGTTCAGAGTAGAATACCGTAGTTTCAGTCAAAATTGCAGTAATGTAAGAAGTACTGCGAGTGTCACAGTAACCAGCAATGTCTTGTAGAAATTCACAGTAACTTCCAATGTATTGTAGAAAACACTATAACTAATTATGTACTGTAGAAAAATCACAGTAATTACCAATGTATTGTAGAAAACACAACAAGCAATTATTTACAGTAGAAAATTACAGTAACCAACAATGTGCTGTAAAAAAAATAATGGATATTATTTATATCCAGCTTAGTTTTCACAAGAGAGCGGGTACAACTATTTGTAACTTGAATGTGTTTGGCTTCTGGTGTCTTTTGCTTCCAGTCATTTTACCTGTGCAAAAACAGCCCATTATACTGCTTCATACAAACTTTTAATTATTATCATATTATTTTAACTTTAGTATCATAATCATAAATTCACCCCCCAGAACGCGATTTCACCGTACTGCCATACACTAGGGTTTTCTGAAACCCAGCCACTGGGCTTGAGAAGGAAAACATAGTAGCCTACCCTGGCAGCTGGGTTTCCAGCCAATGACTGCATTTAATTTGACCTCACTGTAATTCAGTTACATTTTAGGTTTGAATAGAGAATACAGGAAGCAAATGTATTCTTTAATTAAAATTAAAAAAAAAAAAATTACCAGAAGGTCATCAAGATTTTATTGTTTTCAAGACATCTAGCAATAAAGTGAAGAATGATAAATTAAGCTTGTTATAATGATGAGCAGTTAACCGTGACTGTTGATAAATGAATATTTATATTTAAATCGTGCAACATGCATTAGTTATTTCATATTAATTTTATTTTTATTTGGGATGAACCAATGTAACTAAACAGCAATGGAACTTGTCGGTACCAATAGTCTAGTGGTTAGCGCACTGATATATAGTGCAACTGTGGCTTTGGCGACCCGTGCTCGATTCCTGGCTTAAGGTCCTTTGCCGATTACATTCCCCACCAATTGTTACACTGTCCTGTGTAATAAGAAAAAAAAGGTTGCACTTGCAAATGAGTGAGTTTTACTTTACAGTTACATGGTTGCTATTGTAAATGAAAACAATGAAAATATTTATTCTACAGTAAGTTACTTGTCACTAGCTGCCAGTTAATTACTGTGAATTTCACAGTCAGTTTCTTAGTGTATACATAAAACTAAATACATTAAATTAATATTAGCATATAGGGAAAAAGTACCTTGGAATATAAACATCCTAATAAATACTAATTCTAATAATATATATATATATACACATTTGAAAGCAAGAATATATTGTCAGGCTGTGTGGTATATATACTGTAACTGAGAAATAGGAATTGAAGGAAGCTAAAAAGAAAAGAAAAGGCAAGCTATGTTAATGATGGTTATAAAACAGGACCTGCATACATATATACCGCATACTACATAAAATGTTTTGTCGTTACACCTAAAAATTTGCGTCATGTTGTATTATCTAAATTAAGTGGGTTTTAAGTAAAGATATTGTTCATTGTTCAATTTATTTATAAAGCACTTTAAAACAACCTTAGTTTACCAAAGTGATGTACACAGTTACATTGACCCAATCACACAACAGAATAAACACATCATTAGAAAACCAGTCACAAAACATTGAAAGCATGGGAAGAAAGATACGTTTTTAAAAGACTTTTAAACTCAGACACTGAAGAAGCTATTCTGATGGATAATGGCAAATTGTTCAATAGTTTGGGGCTAGCAACAGCAAAGGCTCGGTCACCCCTACATTTCAATCTAGCTCTGGGAACCAAAAGCAGATGCTTAGTCTGTGATCTGAGTGATCTAGCTGGATTGTGTACAATAATCAACTCGGAGAGATATGGAAGTGCAAGGTTGTTTAGAGCTTTGTACACAAATAGCAGAATTTTTAATTGAATGCGATAATTAAATGGTAACCAGTGCAATTAACGCAAAATAGGCATGATGTGATTCCTTCTGTGACTGCCTGTGAGCAAATGAGCAGCCGCATTTTGGACGTTTTGGAAGTTGCAGATGATGAATAGATGAGACAGGCAGTCCATAATATAGCGAGTTACAATAGTCAAGTCGCGAAGAAATTAAAGCATGAATTACAATCTCCAAACTCTTCCTGCTTAGGAAGGGTTTAAGTTTTGCTAATCTTTGCAGATGGTAAAAGCTAGCACTCACAGTAGAATGAATTTGTTTATTCAGCTTTAGGTCGCTGTCCAGTATGAAGCCCAGATCCTTGACCTCAGCAGAACAATATGGGAGAGCCCAGATCAACGGTGCTCAGATCAGTTTTCTCGTTAGCCCTAAACAGAACAATTTGAGTTTTATCGTCATTCAAATGCAGAAAATGATTGGTAGGCCATGTTTTCAATTCTTGGAGACAGGCTGTTAGTTGATATAAAGCAGTCTTGTCATTGCGCTTAAATGGCATGTAAAGCTGGGTATCATCGACTTAGCAATGATATGACGCATCGAATCTCCTAAAGATTGAACCAATGGGTAACATGTACAGCGAGAACAATAATGGCGCCAAAGTTGATCCTTGAGGAACACCACATGAAGAAAATGCAACAGAAGAGGAATATTGCCCAATACTGACTGAAAATCTTCTGTTAGACAAAAAGGACCGAACTTGTCATTGCGCTTAAATGGCATGTAAAGCTGGGTATCATCGACTTAGCAATGATATGACGCATCGAATCTCCTAAAGATTGAACCAATGGGTAACATGTACAGCGAGAACAATAATGGCGCCAAAGTTGATCCTTGAGGAACACCACATGAAGAAAATGCTACAGAAGAGGAATATTGCCCAATACTGACTGAAAATCTTCTGTTAGACAAAAAGAACCGAAACCAGTCAAGTACAGTGCCTCTAATACCAATGCAGTGCTCCAAGCGAGATAGCAGATTCAAAATACCATGGTCAACAAAATCAAACGCTGAACTGAGATCTAAAAGCACTAAGGCCATAGTATTACCAGAATCATTAGATGTTAAAATGTCATTAAAAACCTTCAGAAGGGCAGACTCTGTCCTGTGTAAGCTTTTAAAACCAGACTGAAAAATATCGGAGATACAGTTAGTACTCAAATACCTTTGTAATTGCATAAGTACTATTGTTTCTAAAATTGTAGATAAAAATGGCAAATTTGAGATCGGTCTAAAGTTTGAGTAAACTGCAGTATCTAGTGAGGGCTTCTTACAAATTGGTGTCACAGAAGCTACTTTAGCGTCTTTAGACAGTTGCTAATGATAATCACTAGGTCTAAACCAATGGTATCAAAGATTTGTTTAACAAATCGTGATGGAATAACATCAAAGGGGGAAAAGGTGGATTTTAATTTTAAGGTGATTTCTCTGCATGTCTGTATAGAAACAATTTCAAATTCACTCCATTGAGTAGTGGATAAAACGGGGTTTGCCATAATAGCTAACTGAGCCTTAGCATTATTAACTTTGCCTACAAAATGCGTAAGAATTTTCACATAGTAAAGGTGAGATCTCTGGAAAAATCTGCACTGAGGGGTTTAAAACAGAATCGATTGTTGAGAAAAGTGTTCCAGAGAAATGTAAGTTTTTGGCAATACTTTCTGATAAATATTTTGCCTTTGCAGCCTTAGCACCCTTTTGAAATTTGTGCACGGAGTCTTTCAGCATTTCGTATGACACTTGAAGCCCATCTTTCTTCCACCTACGTTCGTATTGCCGACATTGCTGTCTGAGCTCCCGAATGTCACTATTTATCCATGGCTGGGTCTTGCATTTTAAATTAATACGCTTGCGAGGTGCAATAAGGTCTAAATTATTGGAGCACCTATTATTAAAAATCTGTTCATCAGCACTCGAATGTGAAGTGATAGGATCTAAAATAAAAGGTTGAAAAAATATAAACAAAAAACAAAACAGGATACTGGATATTGAATAATATTCTTAAGCAGTAAAAACCTTAATGTTGTCTTTTCGTTGGTTGTATAGTCAGCTGCTTTGTCCCTACCTTAATGGGTATTTCTCTTCAGAGTAGCACCAAATTAAATTTCCTTTCTGAGTAGCAACATGATACATATGTAGCCACAAAGCAGGAAATTCAGAACAGGCTTCCTGCCCATACACTGAATGATCCGAGTTAAATGGATCTGGTGAAAAGACTGTATAATGTTTCATGTTTAGTGGTGCATATTAGGCCACATGAAATATTCTGTACCTAAGATCATTCAGCTTATTGAGGAGAGGTGTGCAATTGTTTTTCTACGCAATCAGACATATAATTTTCACCAGCAGATAAAACAGACACAAATACTAAAGAATCACAGAAGGGATAGTTTCAATTACATGCAATTAGTTGAACTTAAGAATGCTTTTTGGACCCACTACATAAATATATCTGTATGTGTAATTTCATAATTCTAGTTGAAATATGGTTAAAGTCTACATTCTTCAGTACATTCACTGAAAAGATTTTTACCGTAAACTCAAATACAAAGTCATTTCT